TTTGGGATGAAGTCAAGGTATACTTGTTTAATTTTAACATTTTCATTGATATATTTGTGTGTTGTGTAGCATTCTGCCTACATATTTTAACATGACTTGTATACAAAGATGGACAAATCTTAAAATCTAAAAGTACAGGATTGCCATGGACATCATAGTAACAAATTGTATACATATTTGTCTTTTTTTTGGGGTCCATGACAACATAGTAATTTAATTATTTCTAAAAGAACAGGACATTTTATGGCAAAAGAAGATGACAATAAATAGTCCAATTTTACTAGTTGATTAAAATACAATGTTTTGCAAGCATTACCATTTCATATATTTGAGGTATCTATAGTTATATATCTTGGATTTTGAGCTCCTCAATCTTTCTATACAGAAGGAGCTTAGTGTATCAGGTCATCTTAGACTTATTTCTAAATTTTGATTTTTAATCTGTACCTCAAAAGTGCTGGCATGCTAGGCAGGTCAAGGTGTCTTGGGTCTGCAGAGTGCCTAGAGCTGTGATCTAATTAAGGTCAAACTGCTTAACAACACATAATATAAAAGTTGATGATGTACTTTGTTAACTAGTTTGTTAATTACAGTAGCTAAAGAGTAAAGATGGATATTTGTTAATTAGTTTGCATCTTCAATAGGAAACATTTGCTGGGATTGACGAATCACGTAAAAAAAATGATTGTTTCTCTTGCTGGTTGCTTGCATAGAGTTTTTCGGACAAGGTTACGAAATCTTGCAAGAGATAGTCAGGGTAACTACTCGGACGAACCACCTTTCATATACTCGCACTTGTCTTCTGTGTTTGATCATTGGAAAGATTTTGTGGCACACACATTGACTCAAGATTTTAAGGTAACGTTCACGTTATTACATTACTTTCAATTAGAGGATATTACAATTTAAACCAACTAATGACAACATTCAATTGTAGGAAAGAAGCAAAATAAACAAAGAGAGAGCGGAAACAATGGAGGCGCGATATAGGAAAGCATGTGTGGGTTATGCACGGCTGAGAGAGCAGATTGTATGTATTAATTATTAGATAGCGGTACAGATTGTTAGTAAAGTTAATACAGAATATATGGTTGCTGTTGTGAAATTTGCAGATCGAACAAAAACTACGTGAAGGAGAAGAGGACCCTGTAGTCACTAGGTTAGATACTTGGAAGCATGCGAGGATGAATGCTGAGAACCAGGTTGATGATCCTTGTTCCTTGCGAATACTTGAGGATGTGGTAATAACCTACTTCATTTGTTATTTGAATAATTTTCTCAGTTTTTCAAATAGACATCAGTTAAGTTTGAACATCTTAAGGCCTGCTTCTCCCCAATAATTCAGTTAAGTTTGAACATGTGTGCCTTTAATAAAAGAGTTAGCGAGGAGGTCGCTAAATACAAGGTTTCACTCTTTATCCCCTTCACAGTTCCATGATATTATGATGCTGCTTCTTTACTTCATGCCTTATATTTTAATTTCTAAATAGCAAACTGTAACTGTTATAATATTAGGGATGTGTGAAATCATGTTATACTACGCTGTATTTTGCAAAATTCTTTGTTTCCTGCGGTGTAAGTTGAGTAACTTTAAAACCTTGCTGGTTAAACTTCTGATGGAAACAACACATTTGATTAAATCATGCTGGATTTTAACTAATACTGTTTGGAAATGCTGGTTTTAATTTGATGCTAATCAATAAAAAAACTATTTGTACAATTTATCGATCTAAAGAAGACATCTTATAATGTATTCGGTTGCTTACATTGCTTCGTTATTCATGTTGACATCTGGTAATTTGTTTATGGATTTTGGGCACATTGTTTACCTTACAAAGATGATCTTGGTATACTGTATAAAACGCTGCCTTTTAGAAATTTTGGGAATGTGCCTATAATTGCTCATATCCCCTCATTTAGTAATAGAATGCCATGCTTAGGCGTTTAGTTTGTATAAAGTGCACCTCAATATGTTTAGCTGACATGAGAGTTCATTGTTATGCTTGTTAAACCATTATTGGATTGAAAACATCTGTTTTGTACGTATCTCCTCTTCAACCCTTACCAAAGAACTAGTTAAGGAAAATATGGCGACCCATCTTTAATATGTTAAAACCTTGTTGAGCTGTTTAATTGGGCTATTTTTGCTTTTCCTATTCACTCTTTTTTTTAAAAAATTAAATGCTTGACCTCTACAATTTACTCAGAATGTGGGAAATAGAATGTTTGGCCTAATGGCTTGTTTTCTAAGTTGTACCTTTTAAAAAAGATATATTGGGATGTCTTAATAGAAAAACAGGAAGACTACCATATTGTCAAAAATAAGTTCTAAAATTGCACATTGCAGCTATTTGTATGCATAACACAGTTTTTGAAACCTTATTGTCGGTGGGTATTAGATACAGAAGCTATATAAAATTGGTTTTTCCCACTTTGCACATGCTTATGAAGTTTTCATATATAAAATTGGTTGTCCAATGTTTGTATTAGGTTCGGATAACAAAAGAGTTGGAAGAAGATGAGCTGAATGATATAAAAACTTGCTTGATCGAGCAATTCCTTTAGAGTATTCTGGTCGTGTGCGAGGATGTGGCTGGGGTGTTACGAAGAGGTCTTTATCTTCGGCACCCGAATTGTCTGAAATGGCAAAGTTGAAAAGGCAATGCAATCGATTAGAGAAAGACATACAGGAGATGAAGACTAAAGGCTTTCAACCTATGGTGCCTTCCTGTTCCTCTAGTCATATGGATAATTTTAATGATGATGATGCTGCCATGGATTCGGAGGAAGACGTTGATGCTCCGGATGATGATCTTCCTGAGGTATATATATTAGATGTTCATATTGTACCTCATGGCGTTCCACTACTATATTAGATCTTCCTGATCTTCCTGAAGACTAACATATTGTACATTGCTAGGGTCCTATTACGTGTTATTTGTATGTTGAGAACCCTCGTAGACATGTCGGGCAAGGTATTTTGCATAATCGCCCAAAGGAGATTCTTCATGGCGTTCCACTACCAGAAGGTTAGAATAATGTTATCACTTTGATCACCCCTCTCAACTTAGTAATCGTAACCAACTAGAATTTTGCACAATACTGCTCTCCTTGTTTGCTAATAGTAAAGGATTAACCTAGTTGAGTAACCAACTAGAATTTTCCACTACCGGATTAGCCATTTTTTTTGTTAACAGGTAACTATAAACTGTGGTATTTAAAATAAAATACTATAAACTGTGGAGTCAACATAATACCACAATTTTTAGTAAACAATACTGTGCAAGGATTTAGTAGCTTTAGTAGGCGCTGCAGGAATTTTGATATAAGATTTTAATAGGATAAACCTAGTTGCAAAGGCCAGTTCAAAGTAAGACAGCTTGAGCAAATGGAAATCCTCCTGAACTAGAAGCTTTGGTCGCATATAATCTTTTCTGCTTTTCCTTGCATTTCAAATTTCCATTGACTCCTGACTTCTTAGGAATGTTCCTGTTGTTATTCATCAAGTTGGAAAAATACTTCTTTTTTTGTTAGATGTTGGGTGTTGGTTCTTTTTTTTCTTACAATTTGAGGTGGCGGTAGAATCCGAGAGACATTCAACAGTGCCGCAACGTACTGACGAGGTTAGGACGGTAGGAGAAGCTGTTGGACATTTCATTTCATGGCCAAAGAAGCTAGTGTCTTTGAAAATAGAGGTAAAATGATAGGACAAGCTGGTGTCTTTCATGAGCATTTTTAGTACTGTTGTCTTATGCATGTTCTTCTTTTATGGACATTTTTAGCAATGCTTTCATGTGATGATGAATACTAGCAATAATGCTTTCATGTACTGATGAATACTAGCAATACTAGCAATGCTTTTATGTACTGATGAAAATGTTAACTTTCTTTCAAAATTGTTTACAGTGCCCACCTCCTAAAATGAACACAGACAAGAGTCAGAAACTTCCTATAGGGGGTAATAAGCCTACTTTGAAAACTGTGGAGTCAACCGTTTGTACTAAGAAACTAGGTTATCCCAAGAATGGAGATTCTCCTCACAATTCAATGGTGTTGCATATTTTGCGTTTCGCACCCTCGACTATTTTGAGCGACATCAAAGTTCCTATAAGGGCATATTTTGATGGACCACATTGGGATGAATGTATTGTTCATGAAAATATCTTGGAGATTTTGGAGGATCAATGGCTAAGTGCCACGAGCATTGCCTTTTATCTAAGGTAACAAAAATAGTAAAAATTGTCCATCTTATATGATTTAAATGTTCTAGAAACTTACGTATTATTCATTGTTTAAGGTATTTGGGTGAAGTTTATCTTTCCGAAAATGCTGAGTTAGTCAGCAAGTTCTCTTTTCTATCGCCCCACATTGTGCCCATCATAGGTAGTGGAACGTCGTCCAATCATTTGGCAGAACCTTTGTTGAAGCATGCAGAAAAAGACCACATATTATTGATGCCACATAATGTTGGGTGAGTGCAATATAATGTTTAGTTTATATTTATTAAATATGAAATTTTCTAAACTTTTTGAAACATTATGTAGTAAACATTGGGTATTAGTTGCTATCAATACCAAAACAGAGATGATATACTTCATGGATCCAGCACCGAATTCGAAAATTTCACAGCGTATTGATTTGAAAAACTTTGTTGAAAGGTAAATACATCTTCTAGTTTATTTACATTATAAATTATATATATATATATATATATATATATATATATATATATATATATATATATATTATTTATATTATAAATTATATATATATATATATATATACATGTGTATAATATTGTTACTTTATACAAAATAGTGGTATGAAAAGTTATCGGACTCTTCGAGGTGGCAAAATTAGTAAGACTGCATACAACAGATTCAATTGGTCGAACATTCAGGTAATTACTTTACAATATTAAAAATTAGTATATATAAGATATGGTAATAAATTATATATATATAATTGAATTTTTTTTTCGATAGTGTCCAAAGCAGATGGATGGCATTCATTGTGGTCATTATGTTTGCTGCTTCATTGAGGACATATATCTTGGCTTTTGGTGATACCAGTATTCCTGTTTATGTAAGAAATGATTTTAATGAATTACTTATACATTCTTGATTTTTGAAGTATTTTATTTCATCTAATTATATTTTATACTTTTGTGTTTTACAGTTTGTTCATAGTCAGCCACTCAAATTTTATCCTCCAATGAAGATGAAGAATTCTATGAACCCTTTTGGTTGATCAACCTTGCCAACATCTGCATCATTATCCATTTGGTTGGTGCATTTCAGGTAATTCTCATGTTTAATCTGTCATATTGAACAATTTGAGGTCTTACAATATGTTCATGACTATATATAGTCTACCGATCTATTCAACAATGAAACCACCAGATACACTGTTTGCAAAGTTCTACCATCTTATTCAAATGTCTAGTAGTATATCAGCTTGCTTTCAGTTACAGATACTTGTATTTTCTGACATGCGTATCATTATTTGTTATGTGCATTTTGTATACTTATCATGTTTGATATGCCATATTGAACAAATTTTAGATTTTTCCTCTGTAATTACCCATACCGAGAGATACTTTCAACACTCAAAGTAGACGTCTGATATATCAGTTATTTTCTAGGCTCTATTTTGTATTAGTACGTAGCAGTAATTCTGTAGGCTACCAGTTGTAGATACATGTATTAAAGTCAGACAATTGCTATTATCTGCATCATTATTAATTTGGTTTGTACAATATTTCAAGTAATTACCATGTTCAATATTTCATTAAACAAATTTGAAATTTTTACTATCTAATTATTCATAAGCATAGATTGGATGGCTTCAATACTAAAATGAGAGTACTATATAAAACAAAGTAGATATCTGATATATGAGTATTTGTCAAACTCTATCATCTTATTCGTGAGTAACAACATATCAGTTTGCTTCCAACTATAAGTACATGCAGCAAGGTCAGACAAAATTGCCAACATCTACATCATTATTCATTTTGTTGGTTCATTTCAGATAAATATCATGTTTCATATGTCAAATTAAACAAATTTCAGGTCTTCATTATGTAACCTCTCATAACTATATCAGTATTTTCTATCATAAATTCTAACTATTTGATTTGTAATACCTCGGCCAGGTATTTTTCCATCCAAATTTTTCAGCAGTTGAGACATTAATCTGATTATATTTTATACTTTTGTGAATTACTTATACATTCTTGATTTTTGAAGTATTTTATTTCATCTGATTATATTTTATACTTTTGTGTTTTACAGTTTGTTCATAGTCAGCCACTCAAATTTTATCCTCCAATGAAGATGGAGAATTTTAGATTCAATTGGGGAGGATATTTGTATAACCGGTTCCTCAAGGACAAGATGTCAAGTTGAAGGACAACATTTAGGATATTTTGGCTTTTGGTGATACCAGTATTCCTGTTTATGTAAGAAATGATTTTAATGAATTACTTATACATTCTTGATTTTTGAAGTATTTTATTTCATCTAATTATATTTTATACTTTTGTGTTTTACAGTTTGTTCATAGTCAGCCACTCAAATTTTATCCTCCAATGAAGATGGAGAATTTTAGATTCAATTGGGGAGGATATTTGTATAATCGGTTCCTCAAGGACAAGCTGTCAAGTTGAAGATGTCAAGTTGAAGGACAACATTTAGGATATTAGTTATGATTTTGCTACTAACTAATTTTTGTATTTCCACTTTAACAGTTATATATAATGTTTTGACTGAATGGTTGCAATATATATATTTTGTATGAATGGATATTATTTTTGTCCTTTTGTTAGATTGTTATTGATGGATAGAAAATTGTTATTTATGTAAGTATTTAAATATTTAGACCTAGAAAATTAGGTATTAAAAATTTTAAAAAAATAATTAAAAAAACAGATGCAAAAAACTCAGTTAGCGCTTCTTTAAACGCTATAGGTTAAATATATCGTATTTTTTTGGAACTGCATAGCGCTTTCCAAAGCGCTATTGTGGTTCAAACAGCTAACTTCAATAGCGCTTATTTTAGCGCTATCATAGTTTTTTTTTTGAACTACATTAGCGCTTATTTATGCGCTATAGAAGCAAACGAAATTTTTTTTTAAAATGCTTGAATAGCGCTTTTATAAGCGCTATCGTATAAAGCGCTATTGTAGTCGAGCCTTTGGATAGCGCTTTTTTAAGCGCTATTGTAGTTATCATAGCGGTAGCTTGGATAGCGCTTAAAAGCGCTATGCAAGCCCAAATTTAAGCGCTATTCAAGCGAAAATCTGTACTAGTGTACCTCCGTCACATTGTGTTGACTTAGGGTTTCGGATCACAGTATGTTGACTCTTTGTCGCAACGCGTTGACTGGCGTTGACCTAGGGTTACGCGTTGACCGGCGTTGACCCTAGGGTTTCGAATGTCGCAACGCGTTGAAAGGCGTTGACCTAGGGTTACGCGTTGACCGACGTTGACCCTAGGGTTTCGACCGTCGAATATTGACTTTTTGTTGCAACACGTTGGCTGGCGTTGACCTAGGGTTACGCGTTGACCGGCGTTGACCCTAGGGTTTCGAACGTCGAATATTGAATTTTTGGTCGCAACGCGTTGACTAGCGTTGACCTAGGGTTACGCGTTGACCGGCGTTGACCTAGGGTTTCGGATTGCCATTAACACAGTTTATACTCGTACGTTTGCTGGAGTATACATAGTTTAAGCTCTTAAGGTATTGGAGCATAGCGGTCTCAAATGTCGGGGCTGCAGGACCAACTGTTAAAGCTGATTCATCTGCATTTGTGGATCTTATCCTGAATTTGTTGGATGCTCAAGTCACGAGACCAACTAACAGAGCTGATGCATCGATGACTCGTACTTATAGAATTTTTGGCAAATTCTCAGCCATCAACGGGTTTGATGAGCCTTTACCGACTACCGTTTGAGTCGGGCTAGCATGCATATTGTTTAGATCCGTTCTGCACATAACGTTGTGCTAAAAGAGTTAACTCTTTTAGTGCTATGACATTGAATACGTAGACTTCGTCTTTCTCACGGGAATAGACTACCCGGCAACGCGTGTTAGGCACTGACTTATCCTTACTTAGGATTCAGGATAAAAATCCCCAGACTCGGATTCTGGTGTCTTCTTCAATCGGTAAAAGACTAAACCGGCAACGTGTGTCAGGCGTTGACTTATCCCTGCTTAGGCTTCGGGATAAAATTCCCCGTGCGTGTGAGGCACGGATTATGGTGTTATTAATAACAACCTGCCACAATGTTGAATATGCAGTCTTTTATCCTTTTTACGGTCAAAGACTAACCGGCAATGCGTGTTAGACATAGACTTTGGGATTTTTGACAAATTCTCAGCCATCAACGGGTTTGATGAGCCTTTACCGACTACCGTTTGAATCGGCTATGCATGTGAATTATTAAACCGCGTTTCAGCATGTAATGTTGTGCTTAAGAAGATTGCTTCTCTTAGACTTAATGCTATGATTTTGAATACATCAGACTTCGCCATTCTTTTACGGGAATATGGCATCCGCAACGCGTATTAGGCGTTGACTCATCCGTACTTAGGATTCGGGATGAAAGTCCCCAGAATTATACTCTGGTATCTTTTAATCGGTGAAAGACTAAACCGGCAACGCGTGTTAGGCGTTGCTTATCTCTGCTTAGGCTTCGGGATAAAATTCCCCATGCATAAAAGGCATGGATTTTTGTTGCTACGATGTTGAATACGTAGATCGGTCGTTTTTACGGGAACGAACCACCCAGCAACGCAGGTTAAGCGCTGACTTATTCCTACTTAGACTGTCGGATAAAATACCCCAGACTGGATTCTGGTGTCTTTTTCATCGTTGAAAGACTAAACTGGCAACGGCGTATTAGGCGTTGGCTTATCCCTGCTTAGGTTTTCAGGATAGAATACCCAGATTGAACTCTGGTGTCTTTTTTTTACGGAAAGGACTAAACCGGCAGCGCGTGTTAGGCGCAGACTTCTCCTGTAGGATTCGGGATAAACTTCCTAGTACCTGTGAGGCATAGAATTTGGGAGTTAAAAAAGGTGGTGTCTTCTCTTGGCAAAGACGAACCCAAAATGGGAGAGGAAGAATTTTATATTCTATCTCCCGACACTGAAGAAGAAGAATTTTATATTCTATCTTCAGCTGGAAAGGAGACTCGAGGTGGGATCTCCACCCCCAGAATCCGGAACGATGAAACTAGGAGTGGGACCTCCACTCCGAGAATCGAAAACTTCGGATGATCCTAACTGTCAGAAGGTTTGATTACCGAACTAAAGGTGAATTTCTCGTTTATCGAGAGTGAATTATGGTTTTGACCCTAACTGTAGGAAGGTTTGGCCAAATAGGAGTTTGAGGTGACCCTAACTGTAGGAAGGTTTGATCACTTGATTTGAAAGTGGACCTCTCGTTCATGGAAGGAATCGAGAAGGGGATTCTGGCTTTGGCCCTAACTTTTATAGGTTTGACCAAGGAGGTAGTGGAAGTGGGGGGTCTGAGACGGTCTTACCTTTTATAGGCTTGATCGCTCAATTTAAAAGTGGACCTCTCGTTCATGGAAGGAATCGAGAGAGGAATTTGGCTTTGGCCCTAACTTTTATTATAGGAAGGTTTGACCAGGTAGACAGTGAGAGTAGGAGTACAAATCACATCGAGAGTGTTGACTCATACAAATCACAGTGGGGTTTAGTGTTTATCACTTTGTTTGTAATGATCGGGTTATCCCTAAGAGAATTACATATAGTATTTTTCCGGGAACTTCCCGTTACATGAATCATCCACCCCCCGCTTCTTTGCGAAACTGGGTTTATCATTGCATTCGGTTACATGATCGGGTTATCCTTAAGAATATTACATATAAAAATTCTCCAGGAACTTCCCGTCAACGGTAGGAAACAGTTTAGACTCATATACCTATTGGAGTATCAGGGAGCAGTTTAACCTCTTATACCGGTCGGAGGATTCCGATAGGAGGATTAAGAAGTAGTTTATACTCTTATACTTGTCGGAGTATTAAGAAGCAGTTTATACTCTTATACTTGTCGGAGTATTGAGAAGCAGTTTATACTCGTGTACTCTTTGGAGTGTAGGAAGGAGCAGTTTATACTCTTATACTTGTCGGAGTGTTAAGAAGCAGTTTATACTCTTATACTTGTCGGAGTATTGAGAAGCAGTTTATACTCGTGTACTCTTCGGAGTGTTAAGAAGCAGGGGTGTCTCGGAAATTCCGAGACACCCCAGGGGTGTCTCGGAAATCCCGAGACACCCCAGAGGGCCTCATTTTGAGGGTCGGGAATTTTGGAGAAGAGGCGAAGCCCTGCCGGAGTGAAGAGTGATCGAGCACTTCAACGCAAGAGAGCTTCTTCATCAGATCTACATCGCCCGTACCCGATCCTTAGTATTGTCCCTTTGTGATAATACTAAGAAGAGCAAATATCTCGTTTTATCCGAGATAGGCGCTTCAAGTTTCTAGATCCCCTCGCGGATCGACGAAGCTCTGCCTAATTTTTTAGCAATCAGATCTGATCGACGGTGGTCCACGGATAAACCCCGGCACAGGCAAAGACACCCACACAAGCAGAAGACCGAAGAACGATCTCTGCGTTTGTTTGATAAAGTTGTAAACTTTTTTTTATTTTTCATTGTGTAAAGAGATCTTATAAAAAGATCAACTTTTTATTTCATTCGAGTTTATTGTAACGACTAAAGTTGTAATAGATTCGATGGTAATGAAAACAGCAACTTTCACAGCAAACATAGTCTACCACCAAAAGATAGACAATTTTTCTTCCATGTTGCCAATTTCTTATGCATGTTATCTATAAGAGGTTGCCAATCAGCCTTAGATAATTTACCATATTTTAGAGGTAATCCAAGATATTTTATTGGTATCTGCTCCACTTTACAATTTAGCATAGATACAAGGTGATTACTTTTGTTTGTAATATTGCCAAAATAAATCAATGAAGATTTAGAATAATTGATACCAAGTCCAGATAGCTCTTCAAAAATATAGAGAATGGCTTTAAGAATAGAAATATTCTTAGAATCACTTTTGACAAAAAGCAAAGTATCATCCGCATACTGAAGAGATCTCAATTGATTTAAAGGCTCTTTGATTCCAAGATCAGATAATAATCTAGCTTCGACATTATTTTTTATCATTCTGTTGATCACATCCACTGCAATATTAAACAACATAGGAGATAGAGGGTGACCCTGTTTAAGACCTCTATGGCAACTAAATTTTTTTTGAAGGATGACCATTAACTAAAACTGCACAACTGGAATTTGAGATAATATATTCCATCCACATACACCATCTATCACCAAAACCTCTTCCCTTAAGTAATGATATCAGAAAATTCCAGCCAATGGAGTCAAAAGCTTTAATGAAATCAATCTTGAACATGGCCACTTCTTTTTTCTTCTTTGAACAAAAATGTATCATCTCATTGGCATGGAGAATAGAATCCAAAGTTGATTTACCCATTTGGAAAGCAGACTGACTTGAAGCCACTAAGTTTTGCATATGAGGGGCTAATCTTGTTGCCAGAATTTTGGAAAAAATTTTAAAGAGGCAGTTGATTAAATTTAT